AAATTAAAATTTATTGGACGAAGATTTTTAAATTGTTCACAGGGGTCAAATAAGAAAAGCTTTAGCGAGCCTATGTTAACAATAATACATAAAAAAAAAAAAATGTAATTGCATTTTAATATAAAGGGTTAAGAAAATTCTGTGAGTGTACATACTAGATATTTTTCCGCCGTTATCAAGTGTATATACTTAATTGCTAATCCATTTAGATACACCCTGCAGAAAGGGACATTTTGGTAACGTTGGAGATAATACGTGAGGTGACTTGTGTATGCCTTTAGTGTACAAAAAGTATCAAAGAATTGCTTAGTTGTCTCAGCGAGAAAATGCGGTGGTTGAAATTAGGATGTTCGGCAAGTTTTATAAAAATTGCTTAAACATTTTCGTCCGCTAAATAGGCCTATATTTTCAACTCCTGCCATATACCAGAAATCAGACGCGAAAACTCTAAACTCCATTTTAGAATTAATCCTGACACAGATGGAAACATAACCCACATAATTAACTTGTCTGAACAATAACATATATGTAATCATTACTATTACTTTTTTTGTTTACAATAAATCTATATAGTTTTCCACAAATGTGTCAACTGGCAAAATGAGCGTAGCTTTCTAAAAAAATAACCCATATAACTTTCGACGAAACAACAAAGAAATGGAAGTTTAATTATGAATGCAGCTTAATTGTAAAAAAAAAAAAAAAATTGGTATTTGTCAGCAGGATTTTTTTTTTTTTTAACTAATCGTTAAATCCAATCATATATTTATTTTTTTTCTTAACGGCTTTTATTTTAAAACATTAGATGTTTCTTTCTCTTATATTTGTTTGTGTGTCCAAATCAGCCCTTACCTACTGCTTATGCTGTGTGACGGTTCATTCATTACATCAATGACCATGTATATTAATTTTAAAATTTTCATAACTTTAATAATTAAATAATAATTATATCCCTAGATTAATAAATATCACATATTCCATGTGATTTGACGTTTTAAGATCGCAGCGTCCTCGCAGAGAGGCCGCAGGTTCTCCACCTATGCTATAGACCATCACTGGAGTTGTGGTGATCCGCAACTAGTTCTCTTCTTCCATTCCAGGCCTGTCTTACCATACTTCTTTTTTTCACATAAGTTGATGTCTTCCTCTGGGATTTCCGCCATCGATCATTGCCTAAAATGCCAACCAGTATAGACAATTACTGTCCATTCATAAAATAAAAACAAAATAAAAAAATAATGAAAAAAATCATCTCAGAGAGTGTTCCTCAACAATATTTTCTGCTGGTTAGGCGCCGACGTTTGATTGTTTTAATATTAAGAGTATATTTTTCAAACGTAGCCTTGCTTGTAAGACATCTTTAAATATATATTTTCTTTTACGGTACTGTTCAACAGAAAAAATAAAAAATAGACATGACATCACCTCATAAAGCATGTTTTGTTTTTTATATTATCTCCTTTTACAAATTCTTAGCAAAGATATTCCATTAATACGTTTATTGTTTTCTGTAACAAATTAATAATAATTATATCTTAGATTATATTATAACCACGATTATTTATAAAATTTCGCCTGTAGACAAAAATAATAAATTAATTCACATATTAGCAATAGAATAATTGTAGTATATCTAACCGATAAATTAAAAAATAAAATAAAAGCAGTTCACAAGATTTTTTATTATTTGTCCTCAGCTAAGAAATTGAAGTATGTCTCTATAATGTGCTGGAAAGTATCATATCCGATTAATGACTTTTATTTTAAAAACCTCTAATAAATGAGTGAAAACAGTAACAATCAGTATAAATGCCAACTTCAAGAAATAGTTTCTATATCTTCATACTAGGATATATACGGTTGCCATGAATTAGTTGTGGGAAAAAAAAGGAGGTCCAGTGCGCTATTGTAACAAGTGTTGCAGTTAATAAATACATGTTTGCTCCACGTCTGACATCGCCTAGTTATGTACTACAAGCTGTACCTAATAGTCAAGCCAATTGAATTCATCAATGGCAGTATTGTTGAACATTTCATTCAAGAACGGGCTAAAATACGAAAGTGTATACTTTAAGAAAACCTCGCAAGTTGAACAAAATCCTTTGAGCGTAATTTTACAAATAAAAATATGTAAAAAAAGCGTAATGAGGCGTATTCGTCACTAATAGATACAAATAAAACTTTTGCAGTCTTAATTTAGTCAATGTAAATTTTATTTATTAAGAAATTTTATTTTTTAAGAAAATTTAAATTTGAAATTAAAAATTACATAAAGAATTAACAATAATATAAAGGGCTGAAAAAAAGAAACCAGCATTCAAATTTAACAATTTAAAAGCTTATAATCAACATCATTAGAAATTTCAATCTCTTGAATTCCCTCTCTTGAATTCCCTCTTAATTGCTGCCCAAATAAAATTTAAATTTACATTTTATTTCCTTCGTTTTTTTCTTTCTTTGATTACACAACGTGTAAACATATGCATCCTTTAAAAATCCATAACTCCGTAAAAATGTGCTCCCTCAAAGATTTTGATGGAACAACCGACACCATAGAACCCCATTTTGGTCACCCCTGCTATAGTATCTTCTGTATTATAGAAAGTGATAAGAAGCCAATAACTCTACAGAGATATGGATTGTTACACAAAACAAGGAGGTGTTCTTGATTACACAAATTGCACTGACATTTTAAAAATCAAGTTCTCAAGTGGACGGTTAGAGGTGGACGAAAAGAAGTAGCGTTTTCTGGGGGATTTATAAGTTCTTTAAGTTTGGACCAGAATAAAATGTCGTAATAGAAAAAGATATGAACAAGAAGATATGATTGATTCTTACTTGTGTGAATTAATTTGGAGGAAAATATATCAAAATGAAGATTACTTTTAAAACAAATTTACATTGTACAATAATTTAATACCTGTAGAAAAATGAGTAAATATTATATCTTTGTTAGATAACATTTAATAAATTCATATCACTCGTCATTCTTTTCTAGGTTAGATTTACTATCTAGTCACATGTTTAAGCAACTGTTCATAACTATGCAATCACTAAAGTAAGATAAAAAGCCCGATGTATTTAAAGTAGAAAGGAGCCAACTGCTATGTATCGTGGAGGCTGACTTGTGAATTAAAATATATTTTAAAATTTAATGTAAATTGAGTTAGTCTAAAGGAAGTTATAATATTTGCCGTAATGCTTGGCGGCGTAGGTCTTGCCCAATTCCAAGACTACTTTGGATACTTAGTGACCCTTTCTGACATCCCGGACCTGCCGCTCAGATAAAGTCTTTGGTCAACACTCCAGTTAGGGTGTAATAAAGCCTAATGGATTCCATTTGAATAGTGTAAATAAATTCATAACCTTCCGGGCTAGTGTGTACATCTGGATTCAAACAGACAGCCGACGCATCTATTGATGGAGGTTAAAAAACAACTTCAACCAATAGAAAAACCTAAGTAATGGAGAAAAGAGAATCGAGAAATCTATTGCCATATAGAAAAATAGAGGAGTAGCCAAGCCTGGAGAGGACCCTAGGAGTTGGAAACATGTCCAAGGTAGACACAGTTGGATACAGCCTGTGAAGCAGGTTAGGTCCTGAAGGAGAGACTCTGACCAGAAGAGGTTAGGGCTGGATGGTTGCTGGAGAAAGGATAAGGCCTGGAGAGGATTGTGGTATCTAGCCTTTAAATACACAAACAATAAATTTTTAAGTAATTTGGTTCCCTTCTGGAACCAATATAAATACAAATATAAAGATTAAATACATTAAATAGAAATAAATGTGGTTGATGGAACCTCCCAACCCTCAGCACAAGTGTATTTAGCTCAAAGCTGCGTAAAATTTGTTGATTATTTCTTGAAATAATATAAATAATGTTACACAATTGTAGGGCCGGGATACTGGGAAGGATATTTTATAGATTGTGTGAGTGTTGTTTATGTATATCAAAAATTTGATAATAGCTATTATTTAAATTCAATTATGATTAACATTCAACCGGTTGAACCTGAATTAATACTTTGAAAAAATATACTGAATTAAATTATCAAAAGCGCTCTTGAGCAATAGGACATATTATGTACTGATTTCAACTTTTAAAAAAATAATGCAAGATTTTTTTGGCAACCGGTCAACTGGAAAGAGATAAAGAAAAAAAACTTTTAACACATTTGAATTTTTGGTTCTTACATTTTTATTTTTTAGAATTTAAATTTGTCATGTTGCTCTAACCCTCAGATATCTTATTAAGTTGTATTTGAGATTCGTCAGGCTCAAGATTGAAATGTAGTACTCACATTATTGACGTAGAAGGTAGCAGGAAGAAGAGGTAAAGAACCAAAAATTCTTGTCTAGCGATGTGTTTCCTAAATCAATCTATAAGCACAATATTTTTGTACAGTGTATGACATACATGTTTTCTTCCTATTTATTACTACCGAAGGTAGGTTATCTTTTATTTTATTATAAAGAGTAAAAAAAAAAAAAAAAAATGTCTTCATAGTTAAAAATTAATGTACTTTCTTAGAAATGCTAATACATATTTCTGCTATTCCTTATTGTTCGATTTGGTCAAGAGTTGAAGGGAAGATCGGGATTGATGGACAAATTATGCTGTATCAACATTATAAAAATCTATCCATAACTTCTGGTTACATATGAGCAAACGTAATTTTCTTGACGTTCCTTTGAATAATAAGGGCACGTCTGATTTTGCCGGAATTCGTACGGAATAGTAAACAATTGATGAAGTAGATAACATATAACATATTCTTCTTTCGAAAACTAGTTCCGCTTATTATTTTACAAATTTATTGTCTTTGACGCCCCTGTATTCCGAAAACGACGCATCGGATATGACCCACGTGGAGAAAATTTGGAGAATAATGTACTAATGGTGTATTTCTGATTTCATCAAATGCCATTCAAAAATTAAAATTAATTTGAATAATTATGAAGGAAATAATGGCTTTGAAATATAGTATGCAGTAATTATAAGGAATGGGATTTTCAATTCAAAGTTTTTACGATTTAAGACTGAATTCAAAAATTTTATTTAAACTGTATTTCGCAGTCGGATCCTTGTGAAGAACATAAAATTCCAGCTTGATAGCTATAATTAATTGTGTAACCAATAGAAATGGCGAAGAAGCAATACTACAATAAGGGGCATACTGACCCTACTTGGTTGATTTTTAAATTTAATTGACGGAGTTTGATTAAATCGACACATAATTGATAATTTTTTCACTAATCCTGAATTTTCCTTCATGTGGGACCATCCAATCTACACCATATTTTAAAATTTTATGAAAATAAGATTAAAAATAGTTGGTGATATGTCCATTAAATAGATCTGACTAATCACATGGTTCCAAATTTGTTCCTACGTGCCTAAAAAATGAATGCGAGTTGCGATTTTCGATTAATTATTTTTAACCACACGATATTTTCAATAACGATGCAAAAGGAATAAAATAAAAATTTATAAATTACTTATCAAAAAATAAATGTATCCATTTGTAAACATTTCTTTAACTCTCGGACTACTATTGAAGTTTAAACTATTTTGTCTTACACTTCGTTTATTTTTAGATAAACACTTTTACCCATTTTCTTTTTCTAATTTTTTTAAAAGATTAAAATAGACATTCCAAACATCGACTTATTGTTATAATGTACTGATATCGATATATCAGTACCTTGTTCGATAACAAGGTAATCTTGAAATCTGTCGATATTTAGTTTTATATTTACACCCGGTAAATGTGAAAGTTTTTTAAATGAAATAAATTAACTAAAAAGAATTATCTAGATAAAAGAAACTAAAAATAAAAATAGCCAATTTTCCTCTATGCGACCAGTTATAATTTTGAAATGTGATATTACAACACTTGAAAAATTATAACTAAATTGGAAAAACAAAAATAAAAATAGAAACCTTCTATAACATGTGATATTATAACGTTTAGTTTCGAAACCATGACAGTTTCAAAGTCATGTCTCTGTAACCTAACCCAGTGGCTCGCCACTCACAAATCATGCAAGTTTTGAAAGGTAGTTTACATAAATTAGCGGTTCATAACGGATTTCTGAAGCGATGCTATTACGATGATTCATCTTCACTCTACAGGATGGTTCCTATTGTAGTCGAGAAGACAGGTAGGGGTGAGAGATCCTACGACATATTCTCAAGGCTACTCAAGGGCCGGATCATCTGCGTCATGGGGGCGATCAGTGATGAAATGTCAGCTCTCGTGGTAGCCCAACTGCTGTTCTTGCAGTCAGAGAATACGAAGAAGCCGATACATATGTACATTAACAGCCCAGGGGGCAGCGTCACCGCTGGGCTGGGTATCTACGACACTATGCAGTACGTGACAGCCCCAGTTGCTACCTGGTGCGTTGGGCAAGCGGGGAGCATGGGAAGCCTGCTACTAGCAGCTGGAGCCAAAGGGCTACGCCACTCACTACCGAACTCGAGGATCATGGTGCACCAGGTCTCAGGGGGGATAAAGGGACCTGCTACCGATATAAAGATCCAAGCCGAAGAGATCTTGAGTCTTAAGAGTAAGCTGAACCGCATATACGCCTACCACACCGGTCAGTCAGAAGAAATAATTTCGAAAATTATGGAGAGAGATAAATATATGTCTCCTGATGAAGCCAAGAAGTTTGGGCTTATCGACAACGTAGTTGGAATGCGAGACGCAATTCTGGAACCTCCGCCTTCTCCTGTTGATCATCCATTACCGACTCAAGGAAAGCCAGTAAACGTTTGATCTAGATTTTCCTTGACAGAGTTAACAAAGTAAATATATTTATCTAAGTCTATGGTCATTTTTTTAAACAACAGTTTATCTTAGTTCCTTTACTACCTGAGATAAGTTATATCAATATAACAGCCTGTAAACATTGCTTGATGGTCTCTTAGTTTCAGTACATGCTTCAATCTGAGTTTTATTTTTAGTTCGATACAAATGCAATGTATCATGATCGAACATATACAAACATATACGATCGAACATATACACCTTTAGTTTGGCCTTTTACAAAGATTACAAATTATTAAATTAAAGTAAAAGATAAACATATCTCGATTAATCGATTAATTCAGTTATTGAGGTTAATTCACATCTGTTTGAGTAGTCCTATTACAAACAGAATAAACTATATTATTGGTAGATAGTGCTGAGATATTCATTTCGATGGTTAGTTTAATCCTAAAGCAGACCCTACACGGTAATTCATGAATGAACGTCACAAGAAGTTCCAAGATTGCCCGCTAACGCTTTGATCATGAAGACCCCTACACGTTCAATCATTACTGATCATTACTTATCGTTGCTGATACCAATTTAGCGCAGTTGTAAACAAAGAAACAGCATACATATGCTTATTTGGACATTGTCATTTATAACATTGGGCATCAAGAGAAAAACGGAAATATGATAATTACTTCCTAGTGCCTGAAAATCGTTTAGACCAAAGTTAGAAAAATATAAGTCAATTACATACAAAAATCTAGGAAACGTATTGCAAAAATAATCAATTTGTTAACAAAAATGGAAAAATTAATGGCAAATAAACACAACAGTTAAAGATTTTTTTTCTATAAGTAAATTGTGAAGTTTCCACTTTTTTTTCTATCCAATTTATTGCCTACTTGACTACTTAAAGAAAAAATAGTTGAAAATGGTTAATAATAATATAGACTAGGGATATAAACAACTATTTACTTTTATGAAATTATTTACTTAATAACGAGACCTAGGTAAACTAACCTATCTAGTAGTAAGGTTAGTCTCATAGAAAATCGTTTTGACAAAAGTTAGTAAAATATAAGTCTACTACTTACAAAAATTAAGGAAAGGTATTGCGAAAATAATAAATTTGTTGAGGAAAATGGGAAAAGAACTGATAAATATACACAACGTAAAAGATTTTTTTTTCCTAAAGTAAATTGTGAAGTTTCCTCATTTTTTTTTTTTAATTTGTTGCCCACTTGACTATTTAAAAGAAATAATTAAAGATGGTTTAAAATTATAAACAAGGGATATGAAAAATTATTTAAATATTTACATATAATGAAAATCAGAAATTTATAATGGATGTGAGGCTTTAAAGGTTAGAATATACATGCCTTACTTCGGTTTGGTCTCAATGAAACCACACTTAGCTGTAACTGGTTCCTGTGTTTTGTTCTAACATAACCTGACGTAATTGTATAATTTAATCTTCTTGAAGCGGAAACTTCTTTAGGCGCATTTTGTACTTTTTTTGTGGAGAGTGAATTAGATCGATTCGTCAGATTTATGAAGTGTTAACGCTCGGGTAAAATTGGCTATAGCTGATTAATTGAAATGTTTTTACATGCAGATTAAAATATCTCAGAAACTGAAAATCGGGTCTGCATACTGTAAGAGAGGACATTGTTCAGGATTTAATCCTCTCTGTTAGAGGCTATAATTCAAAATTGTATCATAATGCGATGCCGTGCTAGGGAGGTGGAAACCAAATGATAATGAATTTAGCTGAACATATCGATTAAAACATTTCAGATACTCCTAATCGGACCTGAATACTATAAGCGAGGGAAATGTTCCGTATTTCATCTTTTTCGTAATGCGGTATGGTTCAAAATTGTACCTGACCCAACATCGTGTTAGCGAGTAGTAGAGGGAAAAATGTAGTGTCCAAAATCCAATGATAACGAGTTTATGCCAATGAATGATACAAATGCTAATATTATTACATCATTTAAATTTTATTTTGATAACATTATTAACAATATATAAAAATATAAAGAGAAATAATATAAATGATGATAACAGCAGAAATTCTTAGGCATAATGGAGAAAAAAAAGTAGTGTAAAAAACCAAACGATAACGAGTTTTATTGCAGATATAGATTGAAATATCGTAGAAACTAAAAATCGGACCTGCATATTGTAAGCGAAGGAAATGTTCAGCATTGCATTTTCTTTTAATGAGGTATTATGTATAATTTATATTTCATGTTATTAATTAGGCTTTGGGAATATTTTCACTTCTACCGTGTGGTCTAAAGTACACACCTTAATTTTTTTTATGTAAGTCATGTTTTCTAATGATTAGGAAGCGATAACAAAAGAAATGTATGACCCATTTTAGTAGCTAACAATTGCTTCACTGTAAAAGAGCCAAAAATTAGATGAAACAAAAATAGATTTCGTTACTATTAAAACCATTTATAGAAGACTTTGGATCGGCTAAACTAAGCTAAGTTCTGTTTAAAAAAACATCATAAATTATTTGTGTTTTTTTTATCATTACTTTTTATCACTGAATATGCAACAGATACCCCACTTTTTCATTCGGTCACCTAAATGCACCCGAACTTTTCAGATAAAATAACTACAGCTACCTATTGGCTGAAATGATGAAGATTTTCCTTGCTAACAATATGCATGTCCTATTTTTAGTTTTTAATATAAATATCTCAATGGATTAAAATTAATCCATATGCAAAAACACTTCAATGCAGTAGACTTTACCCGAACGTTACTCATCGAAAATCTTAGGGCTCAACCTAATGCACTTTTCACAATAAAGTGCGAAACGCAAAGATTTCACATCAAAATAGCGTTACAATTTATCATAGTCTTCGACAAAATAAAAATTAATTAAAAAGGCATATGGAATAAAATAACTCAAGAAAGTTTTATTGAAGATATAGATTGAAATATCTCAGAATCTAAAAATTGGACCTAAATACTGTAAGCAAGAGAAATGTTCAGCATCGTATCCTCTTTATAATGAGCTATTATTTATAATCTTGTATGATATATCAAAATATTTAAGTGATAATTATTTGGTCATTATAATTATTTGCAGGGCACTACAAATCGGAAACGAGTCCTAGCCCTCATCCACCTTTCTCCAATGGTCTTCCCTCTCTGGTAGCCATACCATCCAGTCTCTGGTATCAATGATGGTTCGTTCATTCCTTCTTGCCCAAACCATCGAAGATTTGGCCTTCCGAATCGCTGTAATTTGGTCGTATAGGACCGGAAAATTTTGAATTTTTTAAATTGAGATATTTGAAACTTTTGTGAAGCGTATATCTTATTTCATTTATTTATTTTTATGGTCTGGATAAGATATTGAAATTAAGCAGCAGAGATGACGATTCCTCGAACTTAACATAATCTCTTTAAACATTCTTTGATCGAAAACTTTAGTTAATCAGGTCTTGGATTTAACAAAAAATGCCTAAAACATGAAAACATAATTATAAAACATTGAGAATTCTAACAACAATTGTGAGAAAAAGCTAATTTCAAAGGCAAAAAGAAGGAAGGAGGAACGGTTTTATTAGGAAAATCAATGTTGGTTACTAGAAATCAATGTGGAACACAATTGGATTCTTTTAAGAAAAGAAGCCTTCGTCATCGACGAATCCAATTAACTCATGTATAAGTAAGCCTTAAGCCTTTTTTTAAGCAGATTGTAGACCAATTCCTACTCTGGTTACCATTCACTCTGATAAGTATAAATCTGAATAAAAATGACGACAACTCAGCCACTTCTATTACTTGTAAACTTATAAATTCAGAGCTAGACGCTGCTTTAAATATCAATAACAACATTTGATGAGCCACATTACCCCAAAAAAATTAACCAACAGATGACAGATCTTCTACCTATTTTTATTTAAGTCAAAGGTACTCAATCCAATTTAAAAAGCTACAAGATTAGAGATATTTGGAGAACAACTTTTGATTGGAGACGAATGTAAATAATTTATATTTCTGAACCTTGCACAGTTTCTTCCTGCTTGTATATCTCAAGGCATCGCTCTCGTTTAAAATTATAGTTAAACATAGACCCGATTGGTTTCTTAAAAAGAAATCAGAAAAATTATAAGTTGTCTTTCATTAAAACCGTCCAACATCTGACAGAATTGTATTTTTATAAATGAAATTCATAAAACCTACATTTGCAAAAATATATTTCTAGTGATTTACCCGGACCTCTTCGGCGCTTATCATAAAGTTGCCAAAATACGCATACATTTTGGTAATAATAATCGTTGTAGAGGCTAAGTGTGCACGATTACTGTTTCGTTTTTTTTTTTTTTTTTTTTTTATGCCCTATTTAGATTTTTTAATTTGAGCCTTGAGATAAGTAGAAAAAAAGCAAAAAAAAAAAAAAAAAAAAAAAATCGGGCACACTCAGGCTCTATAAAGACTAAGGTGTCTCAAACAGCAGTAAATATAATGCTTCAAGTCCGTATAATTGTAAAAAAACGAAAAGGGACATAAGAAAAAATGAAATTTCTTTCCGGCATAGTCAGCCTCTACAAAGATTAAAGTGTCTCAAACCGCAGTGAATATAATGCCCCAAGTCTGTTTAATTGCAGGAAATAAAAGGGGAACATAAGAAAAAATAAAACTTCTGTCGGGCACACTCAGACTCTATAGACACTAAAGTGTCTCAAACAGCAGTAAATATAATGTCTCAAGTCCTAATTGCAGAAAATAAAACAGGGGCTTAAACGAAAAGTAAATTTAGAGTGATCCTCATACCAGACTTAAACGACATGAAACAACTCGACGCTTCCGACTACTTCAGCACTTACACTCTAACCTTTCTATTAATTACAAAAGACTTATATACATGACAATAATAAGACCGATTAGGAATTACGGAGTAGAGCTTTGGGGCTCCAATAAACCATCGAATTCCTCTCGTATCCAATCATTATAATCCGAAATCCTTCGTAAAATCCTTAATGCTCCTTACTTTGTAACAAATAAAATAATCCATAATGACCTGAATGTTCTATATGT